GTGGTCCATTAGGTTAAGCGTTCGCGCACGAGACATAAAGCCCTGGGTTCGAATCCCGCAATCGGGATCGTGGATGCGCACTGGTGAGGAGTCCTATAATAGGATGAAACGTCCGTCCAGTGCTTCCAAGTTTTCAATACTGGTTTAACATCAATCGGTTCATCATCTCAATCTAAAAAAAGATGATATTTGAATTACACTTGTCAAAAACAAAACTCCCTCCAAAAAGAACACAAACATACACATATCTTATTTTCACTTAAATTATTGATTTGGAAGTAAATATTATACTTTTATTGATTCCTTCTATTACATATTCGTATTATGTATGTATCTATGGTTAAAGAGAAAAAGAGGGGGGAGGGAAGAAGAGTGAGTGAACTAACGAGAGAGAGAGAGAGCAAGAAAGCGACAGAAATAACTACTAACTGTACAGATTAGACAACCCTCTATTCTCAATTATCATGTGTTCACTTATCGATGATAATCATAATGTTCGAAATCAATCTAAACAACAACAAACAAAACAAAAAAAGACAATGTCATTTATGCTCTTTTTTCTCGAAATTTTTTTTATTATTTTTTTTCTTGCATCATAAATAATCAATATAGTTTTCTTTTTTCTTTTTTCTTCTTCTTTATTTTTCTTTTCTTTTTTTCTTTTTCTTTTTTTAAATGATTCACAATGAATAAATAAATATATGTATTAGTTCATTTAGTTGAATATTAAGTATTAGACATAATAGTTAATAAGAGTTAACTATTCAGTTAAATAAAATCATAAATGGATACTATAACACATACAACACATTAGTAACAGCCCACATTCAATGATATTCTTATAAATAGTTTCTGTAATATTGTTCATTTTTATGTAGATAGATGATAGATGTGGGTATAACTGTGTACGTGTGTGTGTGTGTGAGCATGAGTGCGAGTGTGGGTGTAGGTATGAGTGTAGTGTAGTATAGTATAGTATAGTGTAGTGTAGTGTAGTGTAGTGTATAGTTTGAGTTAAATGTATGAATGAAATGAATAAACAATGACAATAAGAAGATATAAGAAATGCATTCTATGATTGTAAATTAGTTAAATGATCATGATCATAATTATTATTATTATTACCATTATCATAATCATGATCATCATCTTCTTCGACCAAATCTAAAATTTAGAATATTGAAATCATTAAAAGAAATAAAAGTAGAATGATGATATGAAATTGATTTTATGTAGTTTATATTATGATTAGATACCGTTCATTTGGCATGGTTTAATTGAAGCTACTACACATTGATATTTAGGATTGTAATTGATCAGTCTCTTGTTGACATTTGTACATCCTGTGTGTGTGTGTGTGTGGATCACCTCGATATTGACATAAGTGACAAGTATAATAAACTTGAATGGATGATAGCTAATAGTGGAATGCCAGATACGCCTTTCGTTCTGTTTGAAACTGGTCAGCTAGATGTCCACTGTTAGGCTTGAACCCTGTATCATTCGCTTGAAACGTGTGTCCTGGATTCTACTGTTACCTATCAACTATCTTTACTTATAGGGATAAGATTAGTATTTTCCAAGTATAATTAGAGCATGAGTAGACAACTGTGAACTGAAAATGTTTAATCCACGTTATAAAAAAACATGCTAGAGAGTCGAAGTTAAATAAAATTACATCTCTCTTGAGTTTTGATCCTTATCATAAGATGACAGTAGACATATCACTAAACACTCTGAAAAATTACCTATTTTATGAAGTCTGTTGAGCTTAGATTGATGTCATGAATGGATATGTGTTAGGTTATCATCGAACACCCATAAACATTGGATAGCTGTTTCGTCCTGGTATGGGACTCTTTAGCTGTGCACATCCACGAACCTCTACTCTGTATTCGATCGCGTGCTCTTCACTATTGTGCGCGAACGCGTGATATATGAACAAAGTGAACATTATCATAACAGTATCTAACCACCTATTAAACTGAAGAAGAATAGTAGAAAACTAGAAAGCATTAAGTGACTATTTTTCATTGTATTTTTTATCCAATTATTACTCAATAATCATGACATAATACAAAATAACAAAAACCATCATTATAAGCTCAGTTTAAGAATAGAGCTAATTTATGCTGATCTAACTTAGATGGATTCATAATTTGAATGAAATTTATGAGTTTTCTTGACTATCCGTGACTACTTTATTGACTTATTTTTTAGTTTATGGCAGAACGATATCAGAGATTAGTGATGAATATGCTTTTGTTTATCACATCATAATATCTCTATGTAAATGAACATGAAATGATTACTATCGTATCCAAAAGCCCCGGTAAGGTGGAGAGTGGGGAGAGATAACTCTCCCTCTCCAAATACTCTCACATGGCCACGTACATACAACTATTGACATAGATGTCCTACTCACTACCTTCTCGTGACACGGTTGTTCTTTACGAAACTGAGAGGTCGAAAAACGAATGTCTGGCACCTTGGTCAAGTTGGTGGATATGGAGAACGCACCTTGAGGAGTTGGAAAACTCTTACTGCAAACCAGTAGTGTACATAGGTTGGCTCAAGGATTCTAAAGAAACAAATGGTATATGAACCAATCGTCGGTCACCAGCAACTACGAGACTGCATCTAGTTATCATGGATTAATAAAAGTAAAGCCTCATAATAAAGTAATTTACTGAGAAGTCTCACATTAAGACGAAACGGACGTCCAATCCTTCCAGGTCTTCTATGATGGCTTAGCTTTAATTGATTCATGAATTCAGTCATTAAATAACTACTATTCAACTATTCCTTTTCTTCGAGTACTCCATGTGTACTTAAAAACACTTGAATAACCATACATTCTTAGCGTTTTTGGAATATTATGTCATTGTTACATCATAAGTAGTGTAATGGGTTCAGTTATCATCAACAATACAACAATACATTTCCGGTTTCTAAAAAAATATTGAAGAAGCCGTAAACAAAAGTCTGTAATCTAAATAGACAATCAGTGTGTCCTTCAAAGTATAGAATTAAGTAATAGTGATTTGTGAATCGATTCCGTTTGTTTAAGAAATTTCGGATTTTCTGATAGTTGCCAACAGTCATGCAATTTAATCATCATCTATCTTAATAACTAAGTTATGTCTATTACTAGTATAGGGTTTGTGGAGATTATTAGGTTTTTTTATTGAGATCATGAACCGATTGATGTCAGACCACCATTGAAAACCTGGAAGCACTGGATGCCCGTGTCATTCTATTGTGGGACTCCTCAGCAGTACGCATCCACGATCCCGCTAACGGGATTCGAACCCAGGGACTTCAGTCTCGCGCGCCAACTGTTAACCTACTGGACCACTGAGCCGGCATCTAATGGTGGTAGTGTCTAACATCACCCAATGCACGAAATTGCGCGACCAACTTACATTGTACTGAGGTAGATACCTGTCTCTACCTGACATGGATTAACTCCACTGGTCACGGCTTCTCGCCAGAACTCCGAGAACTCTCTCACAAAGCTAGTCACTAGTGAGCACATGTTATTGGTTCGTAAACATGAATGGACATAAAACTTTATTCTTTTGAAGAAGATGATATTGATAATTATCTAGTGCTGTAGAGTTATCATATAAGAAAGCAAGAAACCTCTCTTATTGATACACGGTAGTTTATTTGGTAGATTTTATACTACTACCTATTCTAAAAGTAGTACAATGTTTTCGAGAAAACAATTCTTAGAATCATCCTCCTACCTGGAAGGGAAGCAATGAAAAATCTGTAGTTTAAATAGGAATACTAGATAGTAAGTAGTTATTTCTGAGTCTCATCATAAAAGCAACCTATGTAGTTAAGAAATACGAATTCAAAGAACCCATTTAGTGATGAAATTAAATGAAAAGGGTTCATTTAAATTACAATGAAGGTAATGTTCATGACTATTCTGGGAAAATCGAATGTATGGAAGTAAATGGAACCACATGTTGTAGTTGCGAATTAAAGCATCTATCTATTTATCTGTCTATCTAACCATGTATATATATTCGATAAAAGCCGTTTAATGTTTGGTCAAGATATATTTCAAATGAGTGCGTTAGACTTTTAGTGATTTCGATTAGTACGAACTTAATCTTGTATCTTGTAATCATTCTACATGGCAACTTTACAGATATGAACAAATTTGATATCATCTCACATAAACTGTTGATTTAAAAGTATCAAAGCCTTTATATGAGAATTGTCCATTCTCAAAGATATTTCAATGGTTAACGACAGGTATCTACCACAGTACAATGGAAGATAGTCGGGCAATTTTGTGAATTGGTTTCGGTTAGACATTAACACCGTTGGATGCCGGCTCAGTGGTCTAAAGACTAGTTTTTTGTTTATTATATTTTAAACTAAATATTGGTACAAAGGGACACTGAATACATACAGCCACGCAAATCACTTGATTTGTGTGTGGGCTGTGATATTGACCCGGTGCCTTAACCGAAACAGGTTGTTTTTCTTAGGGGGGTCACACCGAGTCTTTGACCTAAAGGTCTAATCCACAAAGTAGTGGAATAACGCAAAGAGATGCAGTCTCATAGTAGCCGGCCACCAACGAATGATTCATACGCCATTTGTTTCCTTATAATTCTTGAGCCAGCCTATGTACACCCTTGGTTTAGAGTCAGAGTTTTCCAACTCCACTAGGTGCGTCATCTATATCCACCAACTCGGTTAAAGCGCCAGATGTTTGTTTTTCAGCGTCTAAACCTCGTAAACAACTTCCGTGTCACGAGAATGCAGTGAGTAGGACATCTCTATGTCGGTGATTGTATGTACGTGTCCATGTGAGAACATTTGATGAATGAGAGTTGATTTTCCTCACTCTTCTACCATACCACGGCACTTGGGGGCAGTTATTTCCATTCTCGTTTGGTTTGCATTTATAAAAGGTACAAATTACAAGAGATTCACTGTAATAATGTAGAATATTTAATAATTTAAAAAGACCTTTATTCTTTTTCTAATTTAACAGTTAATGATAAATGATTTCTTGCATTAAACACTTTAGTACCAAGTACTTTTCCGGAATTAGTTAACGTATGACAGTCTCTAATAAAGATTCAATTTCAAGAGGCTATCTCAGAAGTAGTTTTACAACATGTTCAACAATGAGGTTCAAAGGTATTTAATTTAGCACATTTCCGTTTCCACTTGGAGAAGGAGATCTGACTCTCTACACCTCCGACTATACCAGGGCATTTGGAGACTCTAAAGGTTAAGCGTTTGAGCGCAAGATCGAAGGCCATGGGTTCGAATCCCACAAGCAGGATCATGGATACACACTGCTGAGGAGTTTCACATTAGAACGAAACAACTCTCCAGTGCTACCAGGTATTCAATATTGGTCTAACATCAACTAGTTCATGATCTCAATCAGAAAAAAAACTTAATAATCTCCACAAATTCAATACTACTACTACTAATAATAATAATAACAGAATAATAAGAAAATCATTACCTAGGACGTCCTATAATTGCAAAATATTCATTTAATTTATGTAAATATGTTCTAAGTGCTTCAGGAGTTTCAAATATAAATGGTCTTTCTGGTGGTGCAATTTCAATTGCTCTTGTTTTAATAATTTTTCTACCATTATTATTATGATCATTATGATGTAATAAAGAATTAATAGTCATTTTATTCAATGGTAAATATGTTGTATCATCATCATCACGATTATCATGAATAGTTTTCCATTTATATGAATCATATTGTTGTCCATTAATTTCATAGATATAATGAATCAAAATTAATATTGTTACTAAGTGAATATAAATTGAATAAGTTTTGATAGGTTGGATACTATTTGAACAAAACATTTCTCTTAGTAACTAAAAAAAAGAAAAAAAAAGAGATAGATTTCCTTATTGATGTTTTAACGGATAATAATTTATAAGTAGTATAAATTCATTGAATTGAAATATAATCAATATCTGATCTAGTTTGTACTGTTTGTTTGATAAATGAAAAACGGCTAGCAGCGGACTCGTTAGATTGATGTACCTACATCCTATAGTTGATGTTCACTGTAGGACTCTAATCCGGTACGGTTCGTTTCAAACGCCACTTGATTGTGCAATGGGTGAAGTTTACATTCAGTTGGTATTGTTTGTTTGAATGTATCCATTGATGCTAAGGGTTCAAAATTGATCACTCTTTTGTTGGTATATGTGGATTCGATACAAATTGCTTCGATATTGCCATATGTTACAAGCATTATAAGCTTGGATGGATGGTGGCTAGCAGTGGAATCCAGGATGCGCGACATATCGTGTTATTTGGGACTGGTTAGCTGGATGTACCTACATCCTATAATTGATGTTCACTCCGGGACCTGTACCCAGTACTGTTCACTTCAAAAACCATCGCGTTATTCACTTATCTATTAAGTCCTAATAGCAACTTGCTTGTGTAATGGTATGGAGTTAAAATTCACATGGTATTGTTTGTTTGAATTTTCCTATTGATACTTAGCACTGCATTGACATCCTGTGAGGATTGCCTCGATATTGTTATAAAATCACAAATAGAATGAGGTTGCATGCGTGCTAGATTCATCTGCTAGCCCCCATCCGTCCTTGCTTACAATGCAATTCGGTTTAATTCAATATAAGGTACAAGAATAAATTAGACATTATTATCGTTGGATGCCAACCAGATCAGTTACCTAGAGGTTAAGCATTTGCAAAAAAAACATAAAAGGTCTTGAGTTCAAATCCCGTATGCGGAATCGTGGATACGCACTGCATACGAGGACGAAACAGCTATCCAGTATTTCCAGGTTTTCAATGATAGTCTAAAATTGATCGATTCATGATTTTAATCAAAACTCGTCTATCTTCACAACTTTATAATGATAATAATCTCTATACTGGATGTATTCCACAGAATTACAATTTTTCTTATTCACTAATGTTTTTTAACATAATTTATTGTCATAGTTAGCATTTTTAATAAAAAACAAAAGACCGAGAAGTTGGAAAATACAGTGGATACATTGAGTACAGTGGATCTGATACAGATGTGAAGGCGCAAATCAGAAAAGGAAGAGCAGAATATCTACAGTTGAAGAACATATGGAACTCAAGACGACTTTCTATCAAACAACACCAAGTTCAAAATTTTCAATACAAATGTCAACACAGTTCTACTGTATGTGGTGGAAACTTGTAGAACTACGAAAACCATCATCCAGAACATACAAGTGTTTACTAACAGACGTCTACACAAAATATTTCGGATCCGTTGACCAGAAACTACCAGCCACAATCTACTATGGGAGAGAACAAATCAGATTACAGAGGAGGTTGAAATCAGGAAGAAACGCTAGAAGTGGATAGGACACACATTGAGGAAAGCACCCAACTGCGTCACAAGACAAGTCCTTACCTGGAGCCCTCAAAGCCAAAGGAGAGGCGGAAGATCAAAGAACATATTACGCTGTGAAATAGAGACATATATGGGAAGAATGAAAAACAATTGGATAGAAGTAGAAAGGAAGGCCTAGGACATAGTGGGTTGGAGAATGCTGGTCGGCGACCTATTATCCATCGAAGGTAACAGGTGTAAGTAAGTAACAGTGGATATATGTCACTCAAGATAATTATTTGTATATACTTTCCACTTCTATTAAAGCATAGATCAATTATATATTCATAATGTTGAATAAGAAGCCTGAAAATATAGTCGTTATGCAATTGTAGCATTTAAATTACATAATTAGTTATTGATTAAATTTTGTTCTCTGAGCTTGGTGGTTTGATTGTGGAGTTTTCATCGATTTTCTGAACGACATCATTAGCACAAACTTCAGGTGGAAGTGAAATGTTCGAATTTCTACACATATGGCTAACAGCTTATCCTATAAACCTCGATGTTGATTGGTTCTTATTGACATTAAATATGGCATTGTGCACTTCTTTGCTTTCGTTATATCTCTCATTGCTTTGATTTTTCGTCCATATTTTCTCTAGATTAGTTGATAAATTGTATCGATTTCAATGTACTTGTTAATTGCTGATAGAGTTGCCTCTATCCAAGATTTTCACATTTTTCCAGTCGAATGTGTATCCGCTGGAGTTCACATGCATGGCATCATAGTGTTTGACTGTTAATTGATGTTCATACAGGCGTAGATGAAGAGGGCCTCCACTTTGTCTGATGTAGTGGTTTACGCTTAAAAAAAAACTAAATATTGATTGTTAGTCGAGGTGTTGGTTTTGTGGTGTATGCTGCATATATGGATAGATATAAGTAGTATGTAACAGAACTTGGAATTCGAATACTTATTAGAGAAAGATTGAAATAAAGAGAGCAGAAAGAGAAAAGAAGAATGATCGGAATAACAAAAAGGATTAGAAGAATGATGGAATATGTAAAGAACAACTCAAGGAAATTATGCAACTGATGTATTTAATGAATGATTTTACCATACCTAAGTTGTTGTTCAGTACAATTCATTATTAAATGTAGTTGAAGGTAAAACGTTTTACATTTAATTCTCCAGTACACTCACAGTTATTGAATTCTGAGTTATAAAAACTAGAATTGTGTACACTATCACTGGTATTGTCTAGTCATTGCACAACTATTGGTTTCGTGTTTTTTCTCAAACGTCGATAAGACTTACTTACGCCTGTCACTCCTCATGAAAAAGCATAAGCCACTCACCAGCATTCTACATTCAACTTTGTCTTCAACAATCCTTTCAAGTTCTTTCAAATTGCTGTTCATCCTTTTTATATCGGCTTCAGATTCCCGATGCAGTGTGTTCTTTGATCTTCCTCTTTTCCCTTTTCTTTCAAGATTTCAGGTAAGCTCTTGCTTTGTGATAAAGTTTGATGATTTCTGAAATGTCTGTCCTATCCACTTCCATCGTCTATCACTAATCTGCTCCTCATCTGAAAGTTGATTTGTTCTCTCCCATAGTGACCTGTTTTTGATAGTATCCGGTCAAAGGATATTCAGTATTTTGTGTAGATAACTGTTCATAAATACCTGTAGATTTCGATGATGGTTGTGGAAGTTCTCGAAGTTTCAGCTCTGTACAACAGAACTCTTCTCATGTTTGTATTGAAGATTCTGACTGTGATGTTGGTTGATAGTTATTTTGAATTCCATATATTCTTCAACTATAGAAATTCTGTCTGATTCACCGAACACTGACCATTATTAACATCAAGTTACACATACTTCCACACACACACACATCCATTGATGGTCACTTTGTGAACTTTTCTCATGATTCACATCTTCATAATTTATGTTATCCTACTTCCTAAACTCAACAATTAAATACGATTGAATCAAGATTTAGTGTAGATTTGATTTGATGAAGTTCAGAGGTTTAGAGGTTAAGCGCGTGCGGAATCGTAGATGCACACTACTGAAGAGTCCCATACTAAGACAAAACAGCCTTCAATTACTTTCAGGTTTTCAATAATGGTCTAACATTCATCAATTCATGATCTTAATAAAGAAGTTTAGAGATGTTTAGTAAATGAAATGTTGGAATGATTTAGATTTCAATGATTGTGATTAATTTCTTTTTTCTTATTACCAATCGATTCATAAGGAACAAATTTTGTAATAATCAACCTTAATTTATGAATGTTGACATTTTCAGTTCAAATATGTTATGTAAATTAGTTTGATAATCTATTGTTATTACGTATATTAAACTGATAAAGCCATAATTACTAAAGTATGACCTATATATGTATATGTATACACGAGCTTATCTTATTTGTCAAACATATTTTACCAAAATTTTCACAAAGCCCCTTCTGATAATAATCATCTATTCACTAGTGACTGACTTCATGAAGCATTTCCTGGAGTTCTAGTGAGAAATTGTGACCAGTGAAGTTCAGCCAGGTCTGCTGTGAGATGTCAGCTCATTGAAGACAATGGTGTATGGTAGCGCAATTTCGTACGTTGGTTGAAGTTAGATATTAACACCGTTGGATGACGGCCGGCTCAGTGGTCTGGAGGTTAAGTGTTTTAGAGTGAGACCGTAGGTCCTGTGTTCGAGTCCCACATGCAGGGTCGTGGATGCGCACTGCTTAAGAGTTCTGTATTAGGACGAAACGGCCGTTCGGTGCTCCCAGATTTTCCATTAACTCATGATCTCAACTATTGTAATTTATTTTAGAATGAAAATTTGTAAAGATTATAGTAATTTTAATAGTTAGATTCATGAGCTGATTTAAGCTAGACCAAATTGGAAAACCTGAAGGTAGTGGACGTCCGGTCCGTCTTGATATAGAACACCTCAGCAGTGCGCATCCAGGATCCCGCATGCGGAACTCAAACCCAAGACATACGGTCTCGCTCTCGAACACCTAACCTCTAGACCACTGTGCTAAAAACTGATGGTGGTCTAACTTATCTCGATTCATGAATTTGACTATGGAAATTACTACAATCTCTAAAAACCCTCATTTTAATAATAATAATCATTAGGTGACTAGTGACCGTCTTCAAGATGTGTTTTCTGTAGTTCTAATAAGAAACCGTGACTAATACAGTCCAATCCGTGTCGGGCGGAGACAGTTATCCATCACAGACAATGAATGAAGAGTTGTGTAAGATCATCGGTTGATTGAAGTCAGACATTAACACTGCTGGATTCCGGCTCAGTGGTCTATAGGTCAAGCGTTCACACGTGAGACATACTACTTATGTTTGTCGACATAAGTAGTATATAACACCAATCAGAAGTGAAGTGCACTGCAGCAGAAGGTTGAGAAAATCGAATTGAAGAGAAGTAGAATGTCAACAGATTAGTTGTAATAACAATGAAGAAACGATAAAGTTT